CCTGCTGAAAATTCAGGTCCTATGAGGGCACCCTGTACAAGAAGGGAGCCTTCATGAAGCCCTGGAAGGCTCGCTGGTTCGTGCTGGACAAGACCAAACACCAGGTAGATGATGAGGTGCCTGCTGGGGGTGGAGGGAGAGACTGATTGGGGAGGCAGCTGCTGACTGAATCCCCATCCCACCCCAGCTGCGCTACTATGACCACCGTGTGGACACAGACTGCAAGGGTATCATTGACCTGGCAGAGGTGGAGGCTGTGGCTCCTGGCACACCCACCATGGGTGCCCCCAAGACCGTGGACGAGAAGGCCTTCTTTGACGTGAGCTATCACTGAAGCTTGGGTGGTGGGAGGGCGGGGCTTCAGTGTGGGGACTGCAAAGTCACTGAGCTGCCTGTCCCAGGTGAAGACGACGCGTCGTGTTTACAACTTCTGTGCCCAGGATGTGCCCTCAGCCCAGCAGTGGGTGGACCGGATCCAGAGCTGCCTGTCGGACGCCTGACACCTCTCCCCCCAGCCCTGCTCGGGCTGCTCTGCTTCCAGTCGTTACAGACCACTAGGGGTGGGCAGGGCCGCCCCGGCCATGTTTACAGCCCCGGCCCTCGACAGTATTGAGGCCCTGAGCTCCCAAACCCCCAGCACTTGTGTGTACAGCCCCCGCCCTGCCAGCCCGGCCAGCCCTAACTTATTGTGGCATCATGGCTGAGCGCCGAGCCGGAGGCGGCCATGGTACAGCCTGCGATGGGCCTGTAGATAATCCACCCCACCCAGCCCTGTCAGTGTCTGGCCCCGGCCGGCCGGCCGTAGGTGAACTGTTTCTAGAACCAGAGTCTATATAAAGAGAACTAACGCTGTACTTGTGCCTGCCTCATGTACCTGCTGTCAGCCCAAGGCACTGCATGTTCAGCCTGCCCAGAGGGTGCCCCGTCCCATACCCAGGCCCACAACGCTGGGAGAGATGGCATCTTCCTTGGGAGCAGCTTTGGTCCAGGACAGGGCTTCATCAGGCCCTTGCTTGCTGCATGGCCACCCAATCCCCACAGGCTCAAGAGGGGTCTTGAGACTTGTACCACCAGAGTGAAAGCCCTATCCCATCCCGACCTAAGCAGTCCTGGGGCAAACGCTGGCATCAGGGAGACTCCAGAGGGGGTGTATAGTGAAGACAGGAAGTTGGGCAGGTAACGGGTCAGAAGCGCATTAATGGAGGGGGAGGGGGCCTGGAAGAGATGGTGGTCCAGGGGAGAGAGGGTCCTCGAGGCAAAGGACACTGGGCAGGACTAACAGGGATCGATTTCCATTGGGCAGGGAGGGACCAGTGCCAATAGGAACCTGTTGCAGGGACTCTTGCTACGTGTGCCTGCCCTTCCCCCTCCCTGGAGTCACACCTGAGCACCCACCCTCGCCATCCCTGTAGGGGTATTACTGTGGTTTCTTGATGGGCTTGTTACTGGCCTCCCTGAGCCAGTGGGAGCTCCATGAAGACCAGATTGCTGCCCTTACCTGTGGCCTCTGGTGTCAAGAGGCCTGGGCTGGTGGCATGGAGGACTAGCCACTACTAGGTGGGAGCATTTACTAGGTAGAAGGGGGCAGGTAGAGGGAAAGGTGCCAGTGAGAATGGGGAAAGTTGAAGCTAAAAATGGCTTTGAACCTTCCTGAGCCATTGTCCTGCCACTGCTCCCTCTTACCTGTCAAAAGTTGGTGCTGGGATGCTTCGGGGGAGGTTTAAGGGAGCCCCATCCTTGGGGCTGAATGTATGCACCATAACCAAGGTTCCCAGCACACAGGGAACTGGGTTGGGCTAAAGGGTGGAAGGAATCTGCCTCCCAATTGGACAGTTCTGGGGAAGCGGGTTAGGTCCAAGTTGGGGGGTTGCTGATGGCACCTGGCTGGGAGCAAACGCTGAGTGTGGGCAGGTGCAGAGCCACCACGGAGAGAGTGAGGAGCCAACACTGATGGGACTGCTAGGAAGACCCCCCCTTCTCAGCTAGCTCCCCTCAGGGATAGCCCCTCCTGGGACATACATAGTGGGGCCTGGGGCTCCAGCGGGTGAGCAGGAGGAAGCCGGCCAGCCTGCTTGCCCTGGGTTCTGATCTCTGTTTTTGACTTGGATGCTTAAGGGCAATAAAAATAAGTTTTTATTTTTTATAAAGTAAAGCTCACTGTTTGCTCAGAGCCTGCTTTCTGTGATGTGGCCTAGGGGACACAGACCACTCCCACCCTCAGCCAGGCTGATGCTCCAGGGCCTGCAGTTAACATACACAGATGTCAGTGAGATGACGATTTTTATTGGGAGTTGGGGATCTGAGGCACCCTGTCAGCTGACCAGGACATCACAAACAACTTGGCCTAAAGGCAATTTTTCGGGCCCTCCCTGGACAACACGGCCTGCCGGAATATAGTCTCTGGGCTCCCTGCCCCTGCACACCTGTCAGCTCTAGCCAGGCACCCCAACCTGCCCAGGTGTATGCCGGCTGTACAACCAGAGTGGGGATACCTCGCCCCAGGACTAGAGCATCTTATTTAAGGCAGTCAAATTTTCCAACCTGGCTCAATGCCAGCTCTTAGGGCCACTTGGCCACAACCAGCTCTAGATGTGTGCCCATCTGCAGGGTGAGGCCTCCCCAGCCCAGGCCCTCACCTCTGCCTGAGATAAGGGAGACCTTGCACTGCAGCTGGACACAAAGTGCAAAGAACTTGGCTCTTTCTGCGTTTGTTTTAAAAAGTGGTAAAATGGAGACTTGGTGTCCACATCCTTCTTGGCACAGTGGCATCTTGGGGCCACAGCCCCGACTCCATAGGCAGAGATGGCACGTCTGAGACCTTATTGCTGTGCATGGGGCCTGGGCTGGGGGACAGCCGAAGCTCGTCCTCTGTCCTCCAGGAGGGCCCGAGTGACCCACGAGGCCCCACTCAGGGTCAGGCCAGAGAGACGCAAGCTGGGCCGTGTGATTGGTTCCAACCGCCACCTTTATCAATGCAGCATTTATTTTTAAATTAAATTAAAAAACAAAACAAAAACCTTTGCATCACCAGGTAGTTTTCTTGATTAGGGGCGCAGCCCGACCAGGGTAGGCCATGGCCAGGCAGCGGCAGCAGCACCACACAGGACCCATTCAGGC